AAAAAATAAAACAAGAAAAAAAAAAAAGAAAGAAAAGAAAAAAAAAAAAAAACAAAAACCTGGCCCTGTGCCAGCTCCACAGTCACCATCACCTGCCATGGTCCCCAGGCAGGACCGTGCCCAGCATCCGCCCCAGAGCCCGAGCTGTTCCCCGCTCCCTTGCCCTCAACCTGGTCCTGAGCTGGTCCAGACACCTCTTGTGCTGGGATCTCACCAGGATGCCCATGATGGACCCCCCCCCATCCTGGGGAGCCCAACTGGCTCTGCTGAGGCAGCCCCAGGTGGTAGCTCTGCACTCCCCCATCCATCCCGTGGCTGCACCGTGCCCCCCGTACCGTGGGGAGCGAGATGGCCCCCCAGGAGCCGTGATATGCAGAGCCGGGGCAGAGCTTCCTACCTTGGTGTGTGCAGCGTTGGGTGTCCTCAGGCTTCGGCACCTAATGCAGGCGGGCGAGGACCTTGCAAGGGTGACTGGGCATCGCAGGGAGAACGGGGCCTGTGGGAGACACCGACAGTGAGAGGATCAGCTCCGTGGTGGGGCCCCAGGACCAGACACATGGACAAACTGGAACCGCTTGGTGGGTGATGCATAGGGTTTGTGCACCCCCCTGCATCCTGACCTCCAAGGATGCTGCCAGGAGCCACCATCTCCCTGCAGATGGGAGCCCAGCAGGGCACACAGAGGGTGACAGGCTGCATGAGATGGCAGCCTTGTCGGGGTCTTTGGTCCTCTCCTGGATCAGGGGCAGCACCTCCACCTCTGGCTGAGGGCTCCTGGCCATCTCTGCAGAACTCGGCAGTTTGGATGCTTTCATTAAATATTTAGAGGGCTCTCAACTCTTTGAGGGCTTTAAAATTTCACATTAACTCTGCCTTCCTCAGCTTGCAAATGATGAATTTCTTCTTTGGAGAACATAATGACAAGTTAAAACAAGCTGCCAAACAGAAGCCCTTGCTCAGGCTTTACAATTTGAGAAAGCCTGGCCCCGCTCTGGGCTCCCCACTTCTGTGACCTCAGGAAGCTTCTGCCTGGGGATCTTGGCCCTTCCCTGAACGTCCTTGAAATCTCCCTGTGATGCTCGGGGAGATGCAGGGGGGACGCTGGCCTGGGCAGGGGCTGTGCAGAGACCCAGGGTGCTGGGTGCCACACCGGCAGTGTCTGGGGTGGTCTGTCCCCGTGGTGTGGCTGGTGCCACTGCGACGGGTGCCACGAGTGTGATTTGTGCTCTGCGACTTGAGGAACAGGTTCCTGGGGAAGTTACAAATTCATCCTGACTTCGAGCAAAAGGCTTTTCCTCCACCCTGGGGAAGGAGGGAGGCTTTGGCAAATTGGAGATAAATATATGACCCAGGGGAGCTGGGGGAAACACAGGCAAACAGCGACGCTGGAGGAGCAGGGGCTGGAATGGACGGAGCCTGCATTTTCAAAAGCATTACAGAGCAGGGATGCCTCGTCCCAGCCCCGGGGGCAGGAGACACTGCCAGCCCCCCCGCCGGCCGCAGCACTGGGTTTGGGGAGGGTGCAGGCTCACCCTGGGGACCCCAAGCTCTGGGGGTTGTGGGGAAGGGGCAGAGGGTTCCTGGCAGGACCCCTGAGGAGACCCCAGAACGGCAACTGCTTCCCTGGGAAACGCGGCACGAAAAGCTCAGCCCGGAAAGGGCTCAGCAGCAGCGTGAAGGTGACCTTTGCTGGGGACAACCGCTGCCTCCTTGGGGATGTGGGAAGGCTCGGGAACGGGGTAAGATGGGCTGCAGAGTGCTGTGAGGACGCCTGTCTGGGGGCGGCTGGTTTCCAGACAGCTCAGTGCCGAGGAGACGAGCTGGGCTGGGACAGAATTAGCCCCCTGCTTTGCTGGCCATGGCCTGGGGTGCAAATCGGCCCTTCTTTGCTGAAGCCCCAGAGGGTGGGAAGAGCAGGACTCCCCGCTCAGGTACCCGAGAAGATGCAGAGGGTCCTTGGGGGTGCTGCTCTGATCCCTGCAGAGTATTTTTTTTCTGGGCCAGGCCAAAGTGTTTTTTTCCTTTTTTCTTTTTTTTTTTTTCCCCTGCTTTTGCAACCAGCATCACAAAGACACATCTCACCTGGATAGCTACACTAGCTCAGTCTGTCTGTCTGTCCAGGCAACCAGACACCAACCACAGCCAAAAGCAGAGGATAGGGAAGAGCACAACAGGGTGACCGAGCCAGGACACCCCCCAGCTCCGGGGACTGCGGTGCCCCCAGGCACTGGCAGGGCTGCTCTCATCCAGCTGAGGCTCTGGACACAAGACACTGCATCCAGGGAAAAATTAATGCTCGAGAAGAGACCATTAGCGAGTCCACAGCCCTTCTGCTTTGGCACCTCTGGCTCTTGGCACCCTGCTTTTACTGCTGGGCTTGTCCAAATGTCTGCAGAGAAGGGTGGGCTGGGGAAGGGAAGCTGCGGGGTGCACAGACTGGGAAACTCTGGGCCACATCTCAAAGAGCTTCTTCTGCCTAAGGGAGATGCTCTTGTGATCTGCCTCAGGGCTGGCATCAGCTTCGTGTCCAGGCACCAGGGTGAGAAGGAAGGCTCAAAGCCACGATACTTGGGGAAAATATCTGCAAATGGGACTCAGTGCCGGCAGTGTGCCATCCTGGCTCTCACGCTAAGGGCTTGGGGTGCCATGCTCGACCAGGCAGCCCCCAGAGGCATTTCCCAGTTGGGGTCCTGTACCTGAGCCAACCTGCCTTGCCTTCGAAAAGCAGACCCTCAAAATCTCAACACCTTTTGCAGAGTCCATCTTGCCACGGGCCAGGGCAGGTCTGGGTCACACCATCATGGGGGTCCAGGATTTGGCTGAGATAAGTGACGTTTCTGAACCTCTGGTGAGTGTTACAGCAGGAGCTGGTGACACCAGGTAGGGAGGGATGTATCTGCTGGCCTGGCTGCTTACAGGAGCGGGCACCTGTGGTGCAGAATGGTACAGACAAGGTGACAGTGGCTCCTGGCGAGGCACTGGGCGACCTAGTGAGATACCAGAGCCTGGAGGCATGGCCCGGAGAGCCTGTGGCTGGACGAGGCAGATGGTCCAGGTCTCCAAGGCCGGGAAGGCTCCGCAGAGCTGAGAAGTGGAGGGGAAAGCTCCTGGGACGAGTGAGCAGAGAGTGCTCACGCGAGAGCAGCCCGCAGGAGCGCAGCTTGTTTACCCTGGCTGAGCAGGCCTGATTGCTCTCTATAAATACACCCGGCGAGTAAACACCGGGGAGGGAGAAGGATCGTTTAAACTCGAGGATGATGCTGGCATAAGAACAAATGGGGAGGTCTGGCCAGGAACACGAGGAGGCTGCGGGTGAGAGCAGAGATGCTCTGGCTGCCGGGAAGGTCCTGCTCTGGGCAGGGGGTCCAGCTCTGGCAGTGATGCCCGAGGGCTTGGTGCCGGTGGGAAAGGTGGCAACCTCGGCTGTAGTGACCGTGCCCACCTGCCAGACCAGACTTCGTGAGCTCCAGGCCATGGGGGCACAATGGTGCCCAGTGGTGGGAAGGGAGCTGTGCCATGCTGCCAGTGGTCACTGACTCTTCCCCAGAGGGTTTCTTTGCGGTACTGGACATCTGTGGGGACCTCTCAGCTCTGGTGCTTAAACCGTGCTGGGCAACTCAACGTGGCTCCCCTGGGCTCCCGACATGCAGCACCAGGCCTGGGCAGGCTGTGCCTGGCAGCAGCCTCTGCCGAAACCCAGGGAAGAGCCAAGGTGCGAACCGCAATCATCCTGCAGCGCTGCGAGGTGTTAATAGATCTGCCTGGCTGGGGTCATTTCAATACTAATGCTATCACGCGAGGCAATCGAAGAAACAAACACTCGGGCCCGTGGCCAAGGGAGACTTTGAGACATTTCTCTGTGCGGGATTGTCTCAGCCGAGCTGTCACCAGTTTCCCCTGGACGGCGAGGGTTGGAGGCACCTGGAGCAGCGCTGTTGGCTAGGGGGGCTGAGCTCCCTGGTTTTCCCGGCCACGCTGGAGCCTGTCTTGCCAACTCTTGGGGTTCTGTGGCCTCGGGGTGGGGGGGAAAAGGGCAGGTTTGGCAGGGAGGACACCATTCTGCACCCTGAGCCTGGCTCATCCTTCCTCATCCTCTACTTGCCAAACCCAGCACCTTGGCTTTACTCGAATCGCTCCGGCTCCTTCACCAACCTCAGCCAGTGGCTGCCACTGCCCGCAGAGCCCGGCTGGTTGCAAGGAGAAGCCCTGAGCCATCAGCCCTGTCCTGAGCGAAGGTGCCAGCCCTTCTTCACTGCTCTGACTGACTGCACTGCCTGCCTCGGGCACCGGCTGCCCGGTCACGCTCGTGCCATGCGGGTGGCAGTGCCACCGTGTGCTGCCAGGCCTGGATCACGGCAGCCACCTGCCGTGTGTGTTGCAGCCATGACGCTGGGGGCACGGTGGGGAGAGGGGCTGGAATGTGGGGCATGGGAAGGTCCTCGTAGGGATGGTGCAGCGGGGAGAGGGGTTGGAGCCCGGGGACTGTGCAGCGGGGATGCTCCACGAGCGGTTGGACTCAGCTGTGGAGAGCAGGATGGAGGAAGGAGCCGGTGATGGGGAGGCAGAGGAAGAGCCCGGCAGGTACCAGGAGCTCTCCAGAGCATAAGGGTGTGCGGAGCCTCCCCGGGTGCGGGCAGGGGGTGATGGGGGGGAGCGGGTGGCCTCTTCTCCCTGCCCACGGCTCCGCTCTGCAGATCCCCCCCGCAGAGGGTGGCCAAGCACGGAGGAGCTGGAAGGGGGGGATGCAACGCACAGTCCGGGGGTGACAGCCCTTCTCCCGCCATCCCCTCCGCATCGGAGTCCTTCCCTCCCCCCCACACTATATCCCAGCCCTGCGGGAGGAGCGGGGAGGGGAAAGCGGGGGG